GGGCTCGACAACGCTGCCAGAATCTACACACGAAAATGCTGAAGACAAAAGCATGCACGAAGATCCGAGAACACAATAGCAGAGGAGAAAACAATACAGATCCTTGCTGGGACCTAATCATGGGGAACCGAAATCGAGGGCAGAGAGCAGGAGCTGACTAACAGAAAGAGATGCAAATAGATACTGCAAAATGAAATGCAAAACGATGAAGCACACCACAAAACGCAATAGTTAAGCCCACAGATGCAGGGGCCTAAAATAGGACGCAGCAAGGTCATGCCATTAAATGCACATCTCAGCAGAATGATCAGATGTGAATAATACCTTGTTTGATGTTTTCCCCTGACTATCAGAAAGAATATCATAACTTCCTTTCATCAAGCAATACCAACACAATGTGAAAGAGGACATCATTCGCTGCCTACTAAAATGCCCAACCGCCATGTGGGTCTGGTCAAGAGCGACCAAACTTTGGTTCTCCCTTTTCCCCATCCCACCTCCATCATTCCCCCTGCCTATCCTCCTGACCGTCCAAATCCCTGGACAGTGCACACCTAAAAGGCCCCTCGAGAACATGGTTCCTGATGCTCTCCCTTCTCTCTCTTTCCACTTCCTGCGCACGCATCTCAATACTGGACATAGATAGCTCAGATCAGAAAAACAAATAAAATAAATCACAAAAGAGAAGGTAGAACTCCTAGTCGGAGCGGCAATTCATTTGTACTGGAGAACGGCATCCACGCAGCAGAATAAAAAAAATAATAAAAATTCAAAGAGAGGTCACAAATGAGTCCGGTCAGATGAGACTGGAGATCCCCTCTTGTCTACCCCAACATAGAACATGTACCACGAATAAGTCAGACGAAAGAAAACTAACTAAAACAATAGAGATTTTGAGGGGTGCAGACGGTCGCCGAGCCAGATGCGGGGCAGTATGCGAGAATATGCAGTAAGACCAGTCGAGATCCCCGTGAAAGGAATGTCCCTACTAGCCGTGTGTCCCCCAGTTTCAGCACAGCAAAGAAATGCAACTAACGGCAACAGATTTGGGGCCGAAGGGTCCTATCCCATTGGGCCTGGTCCCACTGAGTCCCGAACGGTCCCAAGTAGGTCGTGGACTAGGACCAATCAAAAGGGTGTCCCAAGATGGTCCCAACCGCCTCTACCGTACTAAAAGGAAAAGACAACTTTCAGCAAGAACCTACTCCTACATCCGTTCAGGAGTGAAAAGACATTGCACTGTAGAAAGATATGTCATTGAGAACAAGCTACATCATCCATCCATTCCTCAGGAGAGAAAGCAAACCACATGCTCACGCACACAACCAAGACTGTTGAGAAGAGGAAAAGAGCCCAGCACACCCCAACAGGCCATGAAGCACCAAACGACCTCCCGTGGGCATAGCCAAGCCACACGGCACTTACCTGTGAGTGCCCGGCCTCCAAAGATGGAATATCGACTCACCCCCCTCGCTCTCATAGGCCCTCCTGACCCCTAGCTACCACTACACAAAGTGTCCTAGCATGACTAACCACCCATGTTACAAGCCGGATCCTCCGTCGATTTTGAAGACCAGAGTAGCAGCTTGCAACTCTTCAATGCAGATATGCCAGCTTCCGGTCAAGTCTCCCTCTTGAGGGGAAGCCCATAGGTCGCTTAATGTCTTCTTGAAGTCCAGATTCCAGGTGCGAGTACCTCTCACTCCCTACTCCCTCTCGCTCACTTCAATCAGCCTCCTTTGTGTCTCGCCACCTCATACAATCACTCTAACCATCCAGGCAACCAAAGATTTGCACCTGCATTTAAAGCAGGGCTTTGGTTAGAGATGTCGAGACCCTACATGACCGGTGGGGGCAGCATCCACATACCTTGCTGCCCCTCATAATCTGAGATTAGGTTAGCCCTAACCTAACTCGGAATTAGGGTTAGGGAAGTTCAACACCTCTCGCCAGCTGGTAAGTCCGCTCCGATACCCATTGTTACGATCCTGGTCATTCCCAAAGTGCAAATTCACAATGAAAGACAATGCCACCCAATTGCGAAAGAAATGAAAGCACTTGCAAAGAGAGAGAGACCAGAGAAGGGGGAAAGAAGAAGAAGAAGAAGAAGAAGAAGAAGAAGA